TTCACACAATGAAACACTTGTCGACGAAAATAGACATAAAAGTGAAGAAAATATGAGTAAAACGATTCAATTGTTTCATGTTTTCGACGACGAGAGAGGATATAATGTAGTGTTTGTTACAAAGGATGACATGGTTTACGGTTTGGGATCTAATTATTACGGATCTCTTGGTTTGGGACACAATCTATACGTAAATGAAATCCAAGTGATCGACAGATTGTGTCACAAGAATATCACACAATTCTTCAATGGAAGGGACTTTGTGTTAGCCCTCACTCAACATAATTGTCTCTATGGTTGGGGTGATAATGATGAGGGACAGTTAGGTATGGCACACAAGAGAGCGGATTACTTACACGTAAAACCGGAACTTATTGATCCTAAATATATCGATAATAAAATTATTTATCTAATAAGTTGTGGTAATAATCATACAATGATTCTCATGAGTGATGGCTGTGTCTATGGATGGGGTGACAATAGGTTCGGAGAGTTAGGTTGTGGACCAGACAGTGATATACTAAAACGGACAACATTTCGAGTAAATTTCAATCCAAATTACGAAATTAAAAGCATTTATTGTTATAATTACTCTTCATTTGCGATCACATCAGAGGGACAGGTGTTTAGTTGGGGTCGAAATAGTTTCTATAATTTGGGACACAATTCATCGGATAATATATGGGAACCACAACTCATTGCAGACATGACTGGAATTAAGACTATCTGTTCCGCTGGTGGTATCACATTCTTCTTATCAATCGATGGATTTATTAAATTTTGCGGACAATATAGGAATGAAAAAAACGAATATTTGATACAAATAAAACCAAAAGTATTAAATACTGATAAGAGGTTTAAAGAAATGAATACAATTATGTCATTTAAGGATAACTTGTGTTGGTTTACTGCTTTAATGAATGGAAAAATATATCAAATTAAAGACAATAATATAATTGAAACAATTTATACAAATTTCTTCGACTGTTTCACAAAAGAGTTTCAAATGACTGATAAAACCATTGATTTGTGTGATTATAAGGAATATAATTACAAGAATTGCGAAGAATTTATTGCCAAATGTTTGGATTATTTGGAAAAAGTATTTTCTTCTATAAAAGAGTTATCAAACAATGGTATGAATTAATTTTAAGCAGTGGTTCACATTTTATAAATATAGTGAAAATTAGCCTTGTAACAACTTTGCATTTTAAAGCATTTCATTCAACACTAGTTATTATATTAATCTCTATCACTTAAAGTTAAAAGTCATAAATCTCAATATAATTTTAATTTAAAAACATTTCAAACAATTAAGATTTCTAAGCAAATTTTATTTATGCAAAAATAAATAATTAATTAAATTAACTTTAAGTAAGCTTCTGACTTACCCCTCACCTCTGAGTACTTTTGGATTATATTTTAACAAAACTGAATGATTGAATGGATTTATTTAATTTGTTTTATAGTTGTTTCCGAAGTGAGTCAATACAAGCGTTTCTACGAAGAGTTGCATTCATTAGGTTCGGGAGCTTTTGGGGAAGTATTTGTTGTTAAACAGAAATATGATGGACAAGAATATGCGGTTAAGAAAATAAGATACCAAGGTAATTTATTTTATTGAATTGAATTTATTGCCATTTAGACACGTAATGCACACAACATAAGATGATTTCCAATACAGGCGTGTTTTGAATTTTGAATTATTTATAATTAATACACATACAGGTGCTGAAAATTTTCGGGAATGTATGCAAGAAATGCAAAAATTGATAAAAGTTAGGTCAGAATATTGTGTCCAATATATGGATCAAGGGTTTGAAAACAATGTTTATTACATTCACATGGAGTTGTGTTCCCATAGTCTACAAAAGATTCTTCAATACAAACCACAAGTATTTGGTCGACAACCGGGAGAACCCATGAATTCAATCGAGTTTTACATTTCGTGTCATATATTCAAAGAGATCTTAGAATGCGTTCAATATTTACATGATTTAAAACCTCCGGTCATTCATAGAGACCTTAAACCAGACAATATATTAGTGGGGAAGACTTTAAGGAATGGCCGGTATTTAAAAGTGGCTGACTTTGGGTTGGCGTCACTGCATTCCAGTTCGTCTGGAAGTCATACGACAGGAGTGGGAACTATTCAATACATGGCACCGGAAGTTAGACTGAAAACTAAATATACACCAAAAGCAGATATTTATAGTCTGGCAGTCATTGCACACAAATTGTTTAATTTGAATAATTTTAAGTAATTATTTTGATATTTAGTTTATTCATTCAATTAATTAAAATGTATTAATATTCTTGATTACAGTTCCCCGATTGAGTTGAATGTTTACTCGCGATATGAAATATACGACAAATTCATTAAATTGGATCAAATTATAGACTCGATGTGTGTTCCCATTCATAGCACTCGACCCGAGTGTTCACAAGTATTATCGAAATATAACTTATGGTCTATTCATGAGAATTGTCTCAAAACTGATCCCACATTTGATTTCACACTTAATCTTATCCAACAAAACGAAAACAAGTTTTTCATTCAATATTTTAAAACAAATTATCTTTAGTGTGAAAACTAAATATAAAATTTTTCTACTTTTCATGTTTTTAAAAATACGCTGAGAATAACCATTTAATCAGTAATTAATATTTAATATTTAAAAAATAATGTCATATTATTGTATAGTTTTATTTTATTAAATGAACTTGATTTAATAATTATTTCATAATTTAGTTAAGTGCATCATTATTAATATAGCAAAAATATATAATTTAAATAAATTGCTAAATAAATTTATTTGTTTATTTATTTATATATAATTTAATTGCCATTTCAATAAATATTTTAATTATTATTTCTTATGATTTATAGCCTGTTGCAATTACAATATAATATGATTTTCTAATTACTATATTATTGATTAGCAAAACAAAAATCTTTAAAACGATTTAAAAGTATTTTAATTATACGTTGAAAATAAAATTATATTACAGTCTGAAGGGATCACTTGAGGCTAATCTTTGTATACATAAGTGTATATGAAAATCGATTTGCCTTTTCATAAATTATGTCGCATTTTATGCAAATTTTATGTGTATTTGAGCTTATTGTTGTGGAAATAATATCATGTACAAATAATCAGGTAAGAATTCAATACAATTCAGGTAATAATCCAGGTTATTTGTAACTCAATCAGATTTTTGGTGTTCATACCCACCTGTGTATTATTTATGGGCAAAATGTCCCCCAAATAATGGCTTACAGTATATGTGAATGGGCCACATGAGAGAGTATTTCACCCTTTTGTGAGCCTTTATATCGAGTTTTAGGCTTAATTCACAACTAAAGACAAAAAATGTACTCTTTTTCGGGAGTTTAGGGAATTATATATAAAAAAGCACAGATTATCCAGAATATTGCACAACACATACAGTACACACTTAACGCTCGTAATTGTTTGATAATTTAAATTCTTGACAACAAATGTAAAGAATATTTAATAAGGAATTGTGAGAAATATATTTGGATGAGAGAGAGAGAGAGATTATAACTAATATTTATAATATAATACTAATATTAAAATACGGTATTTTGTTTTTTGACTATTATACGTGTAAAATACGGTATACATTAAATAAACATGACATTAACATAGCATTAATAATATTAAACTTAAATTAACTTATTTTAATATTAAATAATAAAATTAACATAAATGATTGCATAAGCATTAGTCATTATTATAAATATTAATATTATATAATAGTCTGTATCTCATAAGCTACAATCATTTTTGTATTAGACATACATATTATGTATTACATTATAATAAAACTAAAAACTATTTGTTGAAAGACAAAAACCAAATATATTGTAAAAATTAAAGCTTACGGTATTGACTGTGATCGCATTCAAAATGGTATTATAAAATTCTAATTTTATATTTTAAGTTATATATGCATAATATAAATCATTTTAGGTGGCGAGCAGACTAACCATTGTTATAAACTTGTTTTTATTGCTTTTCGTTGCTGTCAAAACTGAAAAAAGCATTGTTGTTAATGAATTAAATAGCGATAGTGGAAAAGAGATCGAATTGGACGAGTATATTGAGCTAAAGCTATTTAATGAAAAATGTGCTGACGATTATAATTTAAATGGATATTATATAATTATAATAGAGGAAAACAAAAGAGGTATTTACTCATAAACTATCTCTCTCTCACACACTCACTCTCATATCTATAATTATATCTTTAATTAAAATTTGGTTTTATAATATATAATAGGAAAACCCATTATTAGTGCCATTATTGATCTTAAGAATCAGAAGTTTAATGATAAGAAATTATTTGTTATTGGCGGCTCTAAAGTATCTAATGCTGATTTAAAAGTACCGAACGATGCCATTATATATAGAAACCGGATTAAAAGTAACGTTCAATTTAACTTCATACCCAATGGTCACATTTCGCCGTCGGCTATTGCTCTAATATATTCTAAGACACCAATACCTGCGTTAAAACTGACAACTTCAATGCCGCAAATTCAATTAAACACTAATTGGATTAAAATATTAACTGATGAAAAATCAAAACCACTTAAAGATTTACTGGTTTTTGGACGAAAGGCTTTAACCACACAATGCACCATTTTTACGGATTTACATCCAGAATACGGTAAAATTAATTTTTTATTTTTATTTATTTTAATTTTAATTTTAATTTTTTAAAGAGGGATGGAAAAGAGACTATGGGTTAGAACGATGTTCGATATTAAGTGACCCATTTAATCCTGAGGTATTTAAAGTTGGGGAAAAACACCAAACGAGTTACTCAATACACATTTCATTTTACAGTTAATCCAATACTCATATCACAAATGTGTATAACTTTTGGACCCAAAAATAAACCAAATAAACGAGAAATTAATTTACGAAAAATGCCACAAATATTAATACAATTAATTCAATACATCACTTGTGGGACTAGTGTTTAAAAACATATTATAAATTTATGTGGGTAATTTATGTGTTACTTTTAAAATTACAGTTTCCCACAAACATAAGTTTATAATTTGACCAAGGTTAATAGTATCGACATTAGCAATATTAATGGAATTACAGTTTACAAATAAATGAATTATTGGACACGATAATAATGTTAATAACCTTGGTATATATGATACAATATTAGTTTTTTAAATTCTATTATTAGTTATAAAATAGTTATTTATATATTATATGATAGGGTCGACCAAACCATTGGGACAACCCTTTCAACACTTGATCCCCACCTGAAGGTGCATCTGAAGGAGTGGGCACTCAGTAGTGACGTGTCGACCACCAGATGAGCACTGGTTTACATGCAATACATCCCGGGGTGTCCTCAACAGAGGTGACCCCCACTCGGGACCCAATAGTCTTGTATTCAAACCCATAGCCGATACCAACGACGCCATTGCGGGGATTGTGTCCACGAATGACAGTCCGCTTGTCCTGATGCGAACGATATGCTTCCCATTGGGATCAACCCTCCACTGACTACCCCTACGATTATTGAGCACACGCTCAGGCATTCGTGAAAGACATACCTGTCCACCTGAGGCCACACGTCCAGAGTATGACAGATTACTACGACAGGTCGGGTGGACGGCAGGGGACACGTAGTCCTGTTCCACATGAATGGTCGGCCTCTGAATTGTGTTGTCCTAAAGCTTAGGGATTTGTGGGTCGAGTGCGCAATGAATAACAACAGTGTACAACAGCGCCTGTAATTTCATGCGACGGTTTTCCTGACCCCTCTGGTATGACATCCCGACCCACACCTGCGTCTACTTAACCCGCCATAGAGTCGGCACTCAAACCATTCATTGGTTTCTATTGGTTGTAGTGATAGTCGTATTGGTTTTGGTAGTCATAGGAGTAGTCATACTGTTTGTGACAAAGTCTGCCAAATCCGGTCAACCAATGGGTCGGTAATGGGGCTATGAGTCCAAAGGGGCGGCACCTGTAGGTCGGGAGGGGTCCCCACCATTGTTGAGTCTGGTTTAGACAGTACTGTAATGCAGTCATTGATGTAAGCGATTGAGAGTGCGATGAGTGGGTGTATGAGTGGGTGTATGAGTGGGTGTATGAGTGGGTGTATGAGTGTGTGTATGAGTGGGTGTATGAGTGTGTGTATGAGTGGGTGTATGAGTGTGTGTATGAGTGGGTGTATGAGTGTGTG